GACATAAAAGTTTTACAGGAACAAAGTTTGCGTCGACTAATGTCAACGTTATGTTTGCTAAAGTGTTTGAGTTTACTAAAGCTGAAAATTCTGCATTCGAATGAACAATAGGCAAACCAGCAGAGAAAGTGTTGTTTATACGCATGAGTATCTTTTGGTCATAGTAGTTTCTGTCGACATTCGAATAACACTTTGAACCTAAGTTTGAAACAATATATAAAATAGGTGTACTTAAAGTCAATGGAACAGACAAACCTTGTATGACACCTTTTCCTGTTATAGGAAACTGTTGGTAGTAAAAACCAGATATAAGTTTTGTATTATAGCTCATATCGTTTATAGTAAACTCAGTCGGACATCCAAACATAATGAAACCTGCTCTAGTTGCAGCACATGTTACATCCGTCCTTAAAGTATTAAATAAGTCAACAAAACCTGTTGGTGGTATATCTGAGTAAGTATCTTCAAAGAAGTATTTTTTACCATTCACAACAACAAAGTCTTCTGGTGTCAAAGAGCAAAACAGGCTTTAGTCGTCATCGTGTTTAAGGTCAGTTTACAATATCGTCCTTGAGGACTTTGTAAGTTTGTTGTTATAGAATTATATGACTCAGGGTTTTTAGTCGTAATAGTATAAACCACTATGTCTTCTGCCATTTACTTAGCAACTAAATTTTAATGAATGTTGTGGTCGTCAAATATTTTTATGACGTCTGGGGAAACTATATTTTAAGTTCAACGTTTCACCTCCTTTTCATAACGTATATCTTGTCAATGACATTATATGAAACACACAGCAACTAACTCGGGTTCTATTTCTTTGATGTTTATATCGTCTGCCTCTGTCAAAATGTTTCAATAGTTCTTTCAAAACTTCATGAGGTGCAATGACATATGAGTTCACTTTTACAGGGTTGTGTTCGACCAAGTTTAACATTATACCTAAAGCTTGACAAATCTTCTCCTGAGTTTTAAGTTTGTCTTTAAGTTGTTGGTAGTCGTTTCGAATATCTGCAACAGAACTTAAGTCTCTGCTAACTTCAGGATATGTTGGTTGTTCTTTTACAGGAACTATTGTTATACCATCTTCGTCTTCGTATGGTTTCCCCACTTCAACATCTCTTTCTTTTGACATTGACAACAACACTTTGACTGTTTGTTTGAGTTGGTGAATTTAACTTCACATCTGCCACCGCCATTAAACCTTTTGAAACACTCACGCTTCTATTTTTCGGAAATGACATTTTACTTAGAATAAAAAGATGGACGTATTCGAGTATCTCTTCGAATTGAAGCAGAAACAAAGTTTACACACACAAACAATACAAATACATTGACAGAATAGTTCTTTATACAAACAATGGTAAATGTTATAGAATAGCAGTCTTTGCTGAACCAAAATATTTTCATAAAGCAAAGAAAGTTGGTATAACTGAAATGGTGAAAGTTCTTGAAGCAGACAAAAATATAACTTCAAAACTTACAGATATTTCTAAAGGTAAGTTTAAATACAATATTATGTAAAACTGGCGTACTGTCAATATTTGACGGAGAGAAGTCAGTTCAAGAACAACTTACTGACCTGCTGCCAAAATCTGCTCGATGGAAGCTGTCGTTATGCCAATCTGAGGAGCCCCAGCAGGTTTCATCGAACGAATCTTCAAAAGAGCATCTTCCGTGAAAAGTGCTATTGGTTTTGTAAACTTCTTTGCTTTCAATTCATCTGGACCGTCTCTGTCACCAGTATATTGTATTTGTACAGTACCAACAGTTGAAATACCACCCATAAAGTCTTTCTGAGTCAGCAAATGGAATGCCAAGCCAAAAGTTTGAACGGTCTCCATTTGTATATTGAGTTTTTTGACCTCCTGTATGAGTCCATACTTTCACATATGGCATAATAGAACTTTGCATTTCAGGGTTAATGGTTGTTGTGAAGTTGTTGTTAAAGTTCATAGCATCTAATGTCAAGTTGTATGACCTCATATCCTCAACTGTAGAATATTCTTCTCTTGGATAATATTTGCCATCTATGTTATATGGTATTTAATACCAGGGTTGTAGAAGCAAGAATAGTCATTTATAGTTCGTTGAACAGTACAAACATAGTATCTGCATGTTTCATTGCAGTTGTTAAGGCAATATCTGTTCTTGCACCTGGGTCAGCACTTTTGGTTTCCAACTTCACCTGCAAAGTCTTTGACAGATATTTGGTGTATAGGGAACATAAGTGGAACTGCAATATATTTGGCAGCTAAAGCATTTGAAATATCTGGGTCCAACATATAGACTGCAAGTCTGCTTTCTATTCTCTTGCATTCAAATTTTTCGCATGTGAACTTAACTGGGTCCCAAGCAGTTCCAGCAGCATTGAAATAATAGTTTACTTCAGTGTTGAGGTTTGAGAAACCAAAGTCTAAGTCAACTTTGTCTTTGCAAAAGTCGGCGAATGACGTTTTATTTGTTCCCACTACTTCTGTAAGAGTGAATGGGTCTTGTGTGGTGCAATGACTAAGTTATTTTGCTTGGAGTAAGTTCGATAGAAATTTTCTGCCCAGTTTGGCAAGTATCTTAAAAACCTGAAGATGAGGAAAGATGACAAAGGAACTCTAAGTTTCAGTTTTACTTTAGTGGCAGCATTTCCATCTGAACCAGAAAGGTTAACATAAACTCCTGGAACGTTAGGTCAAGTCTTCTATTTTCTCAATAGTTGCATACTGGTCTGTTTGTTCTCTAGGCTTGTGGTTGTACTGAGTTTCTCAAAGCGAACCATTCATAGTTTGCCCATGTTACTGTTTGAACTAAGTCAGAGTTAGAATATATCTTATATCCCATGAAAACTTCTGGAGCATATTGGTATCCGACATAGAAAATTCCATTGCAACCTTTCTTGTCAGACAACTTGGCCAGAAGGTTTTATTTCAATGTCTTGTTCCACGTATAAGAAAGAGTTGTCAATAGAAATTATATGAAACCTGTCGCAAGCAATATCTACTGTTGTTGAAGAACCTTCTCCAAACTCACCTACGTTTCCATAAGAAACAGCAGTTGTATATTCGTAAGTTCCAGGAACTATTTCTGACCTTCTAATGGCATTGTCGCATTCGTTATACCATTCGGAAACATTTCCATTCATAGCATCCAAAACTGTTGGCGTTATATTCTGAGCGGCGTACATTTCATATGAGTAAAAATATAGAATAGTTGGATTTATATGTCATAATAGAACCCACTCCGACCAAGCTTTACTTTCTTCCTGACTGAGTTTTTAACTCTTCTTTTTCCTTCATTGCCCTCTGCTTGAAGTTGTTGCATCTTTGCATTATGTTCATCTAGTATGTTGCAAATTTCCCATGTCCTTTTTGCCTTTTGGCTCTGGTCGCCCATCTCAGGTAACCTATATCCTAGAAAGAGTTTGTCATAGTTTGTATTTGAGTCTTCCTTTATTGTTTGCATGACTCTTTCCTGAGTTTCAGGTTCAAGCTCTTCAAACAGTGCCTGTCCATATGGAATAAGCTCGTTTCCAAATATATGTTTTTGTAGCCATTCTGGTTTTCTTTCCATGTTACCAACAATATCTTTTGTGAATGGGAAAGCTTTTACCCAATCTTTCAGTCTTTCGTCATTTATTTCTGTAGTTGGTTTTATTTTGTCAAGGAACATGTTTTTCAATACTAACATTTCATTTGGTACTGTCCATTTGAGTTTTCTTAAATATTCATCCCTTCTCGGTTCATTGTCTGCAAAGTAAGTTTTTATGACATTTTGTAAACTTTCGTTTGCAAGGTCATGTACAATAGGTTCTCTTCCTTCGCTCTCCCTAACTTTCTTTCTAAACTCTTCACCAAATATACCATCTCTATGGTTCTGTGTAGTTCTTTGAGATAAATGTTCTAGAACGTCAGGTGTTATATTTCCATCAGCCATGTTCATTTCATACTGGTCCAAAATATCTGCATGTTTCATATCTTTCAATGGCATTAAAGCCGCGCTGAAAATACCAGCTATATCTGGTTCACCATTCACTTCCATTGCGTCTACAACTTCTTGGAATTGTGGTTGTAAGTTTATGAACCACCTATCCGGGTTAGCTTTATGACCCCATCTCATTGTAGTTCCATCGTCTGCAGAAACAAAAGTAGGTTTGTTTCCATCTTGGTTAGGTTCTGAATGAACTTTAAACAATGTTTCATTTCTATATGTTTTCTTGAAATTTAACCTTTTATTTTCACCGAGTTCATCCGAAGATTGAACGTTAAATGCTCGTAAGTAAAAAGGGTTGTTGTATTTGTGTACATTTTTTTTCAGTTCTTCCATTCTATGCTGAATATTTTCATCTGGTGTTGGAGTCTTTTGTATGTCGGCAAACATTTTTCGATATTCTTCTACTATGTCAGCCGAATCTTTCTTAGACTCTTGGAAAGATTCCATATTCACCTCATGCTCTTGTTGAGGGTCAAGATTTTTCGGCTGTTCCAAATCTTCATCTAGTTCTGTGAAGTTAGTTTCCAAAGGAGTGACTTGTTCGTTTCCTTCAGGCTCTTCTAGCTGTTGTTGCTGAACTATTTCTTCCATGTCTGGTTGTATCTGAACTATTTCTTCCTGTGGAGTTTCTTGTACCTCATCTGCTGGCATTTCATATATTCCGAGACCGTTTTTAACAATTTCCCTATCTACGTCATCCGCATTCATAAGCTTTTGTTCTTTCGTTCCGTCTCTATTTTTTACGCGTTTCATGACGAAAGTTGTATTGTCATTTAGCTCTGACATCAAATATCTCGGAGTAAATTCGTTCATGTCATTTGGATGATATGCTATTAAATCATATCCCTTAGCGAGCTTGTATTTTCCAGGTTTGAGATTATATCCGTTTTGGTGCTGAGCCATAAAGCTAAATAGGTTCGGGTCAGTATTTCCATCCTTGAACTTTCCAATAGCTTCTTTATATCTGTCACTAAAGTCAATAGTATCTGGGAAACCACACTCTTCTTTAAGCATTTTTAAGAATTCTTGGTTTCCTTGTTCTCTACTTCTTTTATGTCCTTGCTCTGTTTGTGGTTGTTGCTGTGCAGTGTTTTGAACTGTTGGTTGTGGTGCAGTGTTTTGAACTGTTGGTTGTGGTGTTGGTTGTTGTGTTGGTTTTGGTGCATGCCTGTGTCTATGTCCATGTGACGATGTAAATGTTCTAGGTAGTCCTGGTGCAGGTGCTTCTCTTGGAGGGTTTGGTGGTATATAAGTTCCACCAGCTGGCACATATGTTCCATCTGCAGCGTAATGTCCTACCTGACTTTTCGTTCTTAAGAAAGCATTTACTAGGTCTGTTTTGGTCTGTTGTAACTCTTTTTCTTGACTTTTCACAACAGTTGCTCTAACGGCGTCATAGGCACTTTGAACTGCCTGTCTCGTTGCTGCATCTGTTATTTTCGTCATATTTTGTGCTACTTCTTTTAACTCTTTGTCGAAACCTTCAGACTTCAGTTTCTTTCCAGATGAGAAGTCGTTCACTTGTTTCACCTTACTATGAAGAGCTTCGAAAGCGTTCTTAAAGTCAGCATTCATTAAAGCTTCATTTGAACTGTCTTCATCCGCTTGTATTTTTGTCCTTATTGACCCTATAAGCTGGGCTGCTTTAGCGTTGGCTTGGGCATCTAACCAGTCATTGTTAGCTTTTATATATTCTGCGCTTTTCATTGCCTTTTGCATGGCTGCGTCGTTATTTTTACTTTCTTGTGCTAAGTTTTCATACTGTACGGTTTGGTTTTGCAACTGTAAAAGTTTTTCTGCCTTTACATTTGCTTCAACTTCTTTTTTATACTCATCGCTATCCATATATGTCTTCAGGGCTTTTTGTTTTATCTCTTCATCTTTCAGTATTTTATATTGAGTAGTATGGTTTTTCAAATTTATGACATCTTGTTCCATTTTTGCTACTTCTGCTGCTTTTTCTGACACTTTTTTCGCATATTCCTCTGTACTTAGTTCTTTCAGTTGTTCTTCTTTCTTCTTTTTCTCTACGTTTAACTCATTGAGTTTCTTTGTGTGTCTTCATATTCTAGTTTCTTTTCGTTTTCACTTATTTGCTTCTGTATGTCTATGTTTGACTTTTTGACATCTGTTATTTGATTTTTGAGTGAACTCAAATTCATTTGACTTTGAGGGTTATAGGCTGTTCCGTCTGCAGCTCCACCATAGCCTGCCATTTTCGCTAAAAGTGCCGCTCTTAAACCTCCACTCTGTGCACCAAGAACTCGGTTTAAAAGCATAGGATTGCTTGACATTTGTTGCAACATAGTGGGGTCATTCATCATTTGTTGTTGCAACTGTTGTTGTGGTGTCAGTCTTACTATTGGATGTTTCAATGCTCTCTTCCTCTTACGTATATTCTTACGTAGCTTACGTGGCATTTTAAGTGAAGTTAAAAAGCGGCTTTTGACAGATGTTTATTGTGACTTCTTCGTAAAGACTTTGTTGAGATTTCTTCGTAAATGAGTGTAAATGACCCAAAAATATATTTTAGGTGAAGAGGTGAGATTTCACCTCTTTTTCACCTCATTTCTCACCTCTTGAATTTTCATGAATTTCTTCGTAAAGACTTTGTTAAGACTTCTTCATCTAATTTCTCATGAACTTTCTTGTCTATGTTTTGTCAAGATTTCATCGTAAAGACTTTGTTGAGATTTCTTCGTAAATGACCCTAGTAGTATATTTTTGGTGTAAATTTCATGAAAATTCAAGAGGGTGAAAAATTAGGTGAAAAAACAGGTGAAATCTCACCTCTTCACCTAAACATTATTTTTGGTGTAAATTTCATGAAAATTCAAGAGGGTGAAAAATTAGGTGAAAAAACAGGTGAAATCTCACCTCTTCACCTAAACATTATTTTTGTCTGATTTTACGAAGAAGTCTTGACAAAACATTTACGTTCATGTTTGACAAAACATTTACGAAGAAGTCTTGACAAAACATTTACGTTCATGTTTGACAAAACATTTACGAAGAAGTCTTGACAAAACATTTACGTTCATGTTTGACAAAACATTTACGAAGAAGTCTTGACAAAACATTTACGAAGAAGTCTTGACAAAACATTTACGAAGAAGTCTTGACAAAACATTTACGAAGAAGTCTTGACAAAACATTTACGATGAAATCATGACAAAAACATATACGATGAAATCATGACAAAACATTTACGAAGAAGTCTTGACAAAACATTTACGAAGAAGTCTTGACAAAACATTTACGAAGAAGTCTTGACAAAACATTTACGAAGAAGTCTTGACAAAACATGAAAACATATATAATTTGTGAAAAGTGACACATTATATAATGTTTTCGACCCAGAAGAAGGTTTTCCGAATAAAAACTTCATTTATACTAAACATCAACAGGGCTAGAGGGCACGAAGTGCCTGGAAGCCCCACTACCTTTTTTTTTTTTTTTTTTTTTTTTTTTTTTTTGTTATAATAATTGTACCTTTTTTGGCTTTTTTTCTCTTATTTTTTTATTTTTTATTCATCAGCAAGCTTAGCTTTAATTGACTGAATTCCATATGGTATTGGAGTTAAGTTATCAGCTCTTGCGCTAACAATTGCGGATATTATATCTTTGCAAGTTAATTGGTTGTAAACTTTATCAATTTCAGTATAAATCCTCAAAATTGTTGCTTCAAAAGCTGCAGTTTGTTTTGAGTTACATCTCAATCCATCGAACAAAGCTTCCAAGACCATTGTCGCCTCATCAGCACCTTCAACTGCCAGCATGAAACCTCTTGCGTATGTCCAAAGAACTTGTTCGTACGGGAAAATGTTGTAGACGTAAAAGAAAACTAACTCAAACGTGAGATGAGAAATATTTTCTTTCTTTGCGATGAAATCAGGGAACGTCGTTGATCCATTTGTGAGTTCGATTGGTATGTTCTGTCTGTGGCAGCAAAGGTTTATCATATCTGGTGCGTTGCAAGAAAGAATGATGTTTCTAATTCTTCTGAATTTCAGAGGAACTTCACTTACGAAATCGAAAGCGAAACTTGCAACAAAATTCGGATTGTCGTGAACCAAGAGCATCATCATTCTCAGGATTGCCTTGTAGTACTTCCTGAAGTGTGGCTTGTTAGCCCAGTCTGCTGGGAATCTCTTCAAAGGCTGTAGCAAACTGTCAACTAACAAACTTGAAGGAGGAAGTAAATTTTCATCCATCAAAAGTGGAGGAATCACAAGAGGGAACAAATACAACCAAACAGGAGCGAAAGAAGGATACTTCAAAGGAGGTGTATCATTGAGGAATCCGCCGAACATCTTTGCATAGTTGATTGATCTGTTCCTGAGCTGCAAAACAACAGCGGAAATGACAGATGAAAAGAAGAATCCGTCGATGTGAGAATTCTGAAAAGCATCGAACATATCACGTAAGAAAATCTGCAAAATCTGGAGTTCTCCTGATTGATTTCTTCCCATTACTCCGAAGAATATTTGAAGTAATTCAAGTCTTCTGTTAGGATATGCCGTCTTAATCAAAGAATTCCACTTTCCTTGGCCTTTGAATGCTTCGTTATTTCGATTCAAAAATGTGTAAAGATGGTCACGAATTGTGTGGATTCTTGAGAATTCGTCCAACATCATTTTTTCTTGATTTGAAGGATCCGGAGATATTCTTGTGACTTTTCCTTCATCAATCGCACAGGACAAATACACATTAATGATTTCTGTAAGATATTCGTTCGTTGGTATCTTTGCTGTTGCCAAAAACGCCAAAAGACGTCCGTATTCCAATGGCGCAATTGATCTTTGTGTGAACAATTTTTCGTGAAGCCATTTAATCAATGGTTCTAAGTCGATTCCTTCTGCTCCATTCTCCTCGAAGTAGTTCATTAAGAAGTACTCGACGAGGTTAGGAGAAATGGCTGATATCAAAGTAACAAATATCAACATATGAGGCATTTGTTCTGGAATCATTTCTTCGACAATTGGAGATAATTCTTTCATGTTTCCACCAATCAAAACGAAAAGATGATTCAATATTTGAACACCAAGTTGTGCACCGGCTGTTGGCATCTGTGGTGGGAAGCATGTTATCACTGTTCCTATAACTAACCTTGGATTATGTGGAAGCGGTTGGAAACGGTTATTAAAACCGTTTATTTCTCCAGACGAAGATTGAGTGAAACAAGAATAAATTGTTCTTGCGAATTGAGGGTCGAAAGGAATTTCTCCGCTTGTGTGGTTACTCATTACTATGGAATCCAAGTGTGAATAAACAGTCTTCATTGAAGAAGGAACTGCATAACAACCGAATATTCCTCGGCCATTTTCAATTGCTTCACTTTGATGAGGCCACAAATCCTCAGGAACAATGGAAACAACACTTGGAGGGAATGCTTGTACATCGAGGAATGGTCCGTCGCATGTTTCTCGCAATGCCTTTAACGGTTCCATGTTAGTTCTCAAGAGATGTGAAGAGACATTTTGGGAAATAACAGTGACCAAATTTTCAATGAAACGTGTTGATTTCATGTCCAAATACGTGAATTCCAATTTGACAGCAACAGAAGCCAAAGACTTACATAATGTTCTGACTAAACTCAATGCGAATGTCACTAATGCGTTGATGTCTTTGCTTCTTGCGAAATCTTTCGTCGTCAAATTGAAACTCGTTTCGTAAGCTGATTTTGCAATTGCTGGCACTTTTGAATGAACAAAAGCAGCAACTTCTCTTGTTGTTTGGTTATCAGCGCCTTTGAAGAACCTGGAAACAACAGAAACAATGGAATGTATATCTCCTGAATATAGTTTTTCTCTTGATATAACAGGGATCTCGAAATTCAAAGGCGGGAAGAGGAAATCAGAATCTTTTGAAGGAAGATGTTCTAATGGTCTCAATCTTTGTGGTTCGATATTTGCAATTTCGCAATTGAAACTGTCAAATATCTTTTTAATTGTCAAAGAAAGAGTTTTCTTGAGGAAAGGAAGTCTGTAGATCGCTCCCAACGCGCTGAGAATGGAAACAGACCATGGACAAGGCGGGAAGAAACAATTTGGCACATTATCAAACAATTGAGACAAGAAAGGTAATGTCATATAAAGTAAATTATTCTCATAAGAGAAAATAACTAAATCAGACAAATTAAAATATCTTGCAAAAGAAGGATTATTGTTTTGAAGTGTTTTTGATGATAAATACTTCGCAATTCTTGTTAATTTCCATGTAGCATATCTATCACCATTCATTAATATCACGTAAACCTTGTACAAACATGCTTCAATGCAATTATTCGAATCATTTGCATTTTGATCAAATGTTATTCTATAAATCTTCTGATTGATTGTTGTCAATGCCAATGAATCAGGATCATCTAAAGAATTGTCCCTTATGTACTTGAATCTCTTAAGTTTAGGATGCAATTCGAATTTTGTTGGCTGAATTGCTGTTTCTTCTTGTAACTCGCAAATTGATGGTTTCAATGCATTTATCGCTTGTTGATGAACATCAGGCATTATTCGCTTGATCTGCGGATTGACAACAATAAGACGTGCGAAAGGAAGACATAATTTAAAACCAGGTGCCATTTCCCGAACAGCTTCCCTCGCAAAAATAAAACCGTTGGAATTTTCTCTCAAAGTTAATCCTTTTGTTATCAAATTGAGAGCAGATAATTGGTCGGATTGCGATAACAGGTTTCTTGCGAGTAATGTACCTAAGTTCTTTCCGTTCTTCTCTGCACTGACTTTATCCGATGGAAAATCTGAAACAAGAGAGGCGACAATCGTTCTAAATTTGTCATTTTCTCTTTTTTCGGTTTTCATGGCCAAAGAAGTCAAATCTAAGTCTTTAGGAGGACGCGGTGATGAAGGAGCGGATACCTTTTGGTGCCACTTGAACTCGTATTGTGTTAGCTTCTTTGTTCTTTCACAACATTTTTGGAAAAGTGACGGGATTGCTTTCAATTTTATGTTTTCATCCAAATTTGAAAAAATGTCGTTCAAATAAGTGAAGAAAAGGAGATCCGCTGAATAGAAAGCTTTATTATCACCTTTGATGTGTCTTTCTATTGACATGGGAATGATGAATCCAAAGTCCGTCGGCCTCTCGAAAATTTGCAAACTTATTTCCGGAGTTTTTTGTGTTTTCAGGAAAATTCTGAAATCATTTCCATGTCTGAAGAAGTCGAAGATCTCGAGGACAATGCGGAACTTGAGTGGCGACTTCTCTTTGAACTCGTTTAACACGCAAAGATCATCTGCGATGTCAAAAATTCTGGATAATAAAATTGGTTTGTCTTCATGGAGCTTTGCGCATGTATCGATGAGGAATTTGCTGTTCATGGCCCATAATGCTGAAATTCCTGCCATGTACTGGGTGTTACATGAGATTAAATTGCTTAATAATTGGGCAGCAAAAGATGACGTTTCTCCAAGCGAAGCCAGTGTAATTAGAAGTAATGCCGTGGAGTTTGATGGGGAAAGCTGTGCAAGTAAGGCATTAATTTCGCCTGGAAGCTCATTATATAAAGTGGCCAATGCAACAATGAAGTCTGGATAGCGCCAGTGGTCGCCTTTGAAATCTCCGATAAGTATGGGATTTATTTTTGTAGGTTGAAGCTTCGGAATTTGAACAACCATCGGTGATGAATTAATAATATGCTGTAAAAAGTTCAATTGTGTCTTTGGATGATCCCATTGGCCTAAAAATGGGGCTATTGGGACAGATCGAGATCCAGTAACTTCCTTTATCGCTGAAATAAAGACATTGAATGAATTCATTGTTGAAATTATCACCGATCTTGAATCAAAGGACTTAATTAGTTGCTCTAATGTAATTTTCGAATTTTTGAATGGTCTTAATAAACCAAGTTGAGTATTTCTATCACTATTAGCGATGTTTTTCGAAATTGGAGATTTGTTTGATACTAAGTTGATGACGAAATCAGAAATGTCGTTCTCTGTGAAGGGCTGGAATTGTTCAATGCATTGTAAAGATCTTGATGAATAATTATCGAGAACTTCAGCGGATGCTTCGTTAAAAACATCGGATATTGAAACAAAAGAGCCTTCATGAGAGAATTTTATAATCTTGTTCTGAGAAAATGTGTATTGTTGTGCTAATTTTGCAACATTTTCAACATGGCTAAACGAGAATATATTTGCAATTTTGGGTTGAACATTTTCGTTGATATCGCTGAAGAAGAGAGGATCAATTTTAGTGACTAAATTGACAATTCTGTGTATAACAGGAAAATCAACTAATTTTTCGAAAATTCTTAATGTAATTTCACGGCGTTCTGGATACCTTTCGAGCATTTTAGCCATCTCTGAGGCAAATTGATAGGAAGAAAAGTTATTAAGATAGGAATCCGAAGTAATAAATTGAATAATATGCGGAAGATGTGGAGAATCTTCTGGACAGATGGTGATTAATTTGAGGTATATATCCCCTAATGAAAGCTGCGGAAGAAAAATCGATGAATTCGATGAGTTTGAGCCAGATCTCATCGAATCAAACCAAAAAAAAATTTTGCGCCATAATTGATGGAAGAGAAGTCTAAAAATCATGGAGAATAAAAATATATCTTTGTTATAGTATTGGTAAGATATTTTCCCGTATATATGTTAGTCAAATCTTGTAATAAAATCATTCAGTTCATTAGATAATGGATAATATCTCAATCAATAAGAAGAAATCATTACACTATTCTTGGAACTATGATTATGATAGTAATTCATAGAGAATAAAAACGTTGAATTTTGAAATCAAATTCTTCTGCAACTTCATTCCATATATTTTGAGAAAATTAATGTCATCCTAGAAACATATTGTATTAGAATGTTGAATTGTAAAAATATTGATTCTTGCAAAATTTGAAGAAAATTGATTCACTAAAATTTAAAATGGTTATAGCAAAATGGGTTATACAAGTTTCTAAATAGGCAAATTTAACGTTTATAATATAAAAATAACAATATTTAAAAAATATAATCTTCCATATCAGTAATTTCATCATCGTCATCAGTGTCATAGTATTTAGTGGAAAGATACAGGATCTTTCGCTCATAGTCTTTAACGTTAACAACACTACGAACAATATTTTTCTCTTTCAATTCTATTTTCTGATGACTAAGAATGATCTTTTCGAGATCTTTGGCTTTCTGATCTTGAGTATTGTCATTAGTTGTGTTCAAATTTTGTTCAATTGAATTATTTTCAGGTTTAATTGTATTGCTAGTACTTTGGATAGTCATATCACCATCTTCCTCATTTCTTTGAGGAATCGGAGACGATGCTTCTGTTTGAATAAATTTATCATCATCTTTTTCTTCTTTTTGATTCTTTTTAATTTCATCAGTTGGCTTCCCTTTAGGTGTTGTGCTACCGAAAAAGCTCATGATGGATGATTGCTTAGTTTTCTTCGTAGAAGTCATTGATTTTGGAGGGCTTAACGTACAGTTTTATTGAAATCAAAAGACATCATTGCTCAATTGAATGGGGAGAAGCTTCCTAAACTTTTTAATCCCATAAATATGGTCATTATCTGGAATAAAGAGTTAAGCGTCATATGTCACTTTTTGTACTAAGGAAACATCGACTTTATGCGTTATGACTTTTCGATGAGGAAACAAGTGTTCACGTATTATAAACTTCCTTATCCCAATAAACCGGCCCTAAACATAATTAATTTTAAGCATTATAATGGTCTCTTTTCTATGATAACCAAATCAATTTGGTTATCATAGAAAAGCACCAAAAACTAGAATAGGAATCGGCAATATGGAATTATGAAACAACTAGGATAAAATGGATATGGGACATTCATGAATGCATTCACTTTTTTCAAGACTTTTTAATGAATTTCAAATTCCTCAGATTATTTTCAATAGATTTTCCGTACCATATCATTTTTATTAGACAAAGCTATCTTTTCGATGAAATTTTTGCAAAAATACTCTGTTTTGAAAAAGATTTATGTAAATTTTTTGATAAAAGTGTCTTGAATGATTATCATTGATAATACCATTCCAATTGAATGCTGTTTTCGGCTGCTTTTATAAAAATTTGATCATATTGTACTCATAATTTTTTTTTGTATTTTGGTCAAAAACTAAGCTAACATCAGCTGTATATTTGCATAAGCCATTAATAAGCTTTGGTATAGGTTATACTGAGTTTAGACGATCATACAATTTAGACTTTTTTCATTTAATTTAGTCTAACAAAGAGTGATTATCTTACTATTTGATTCATAAATATATAGGAAATAATAGTTTTATACCTTAATATGATAAAATTTTATAAAATTTTCCCTTCTCCTTTGGCAATATTAGTCATTAATAGATATATTTAACATGATGGTTCTAAATATATGAATAGATAAAATTTTCCTTTCAATTTTACGAACCAAATTTATTACCATATCCTAAATTTTTTCTATGTTTATAGACCTTTGGAACTTTGTATGAAGTCTAAATATACATGTAGAGTATTCAAACAAAACAAATATCAAAATCTAAACCTTTGAATTACCTTCAATGCTTAACCGAATTACTAGATCTTATATATGTGTGTGTACTAATACCTTTTGATGCATAAAAAACTCCAAAAGAGTTTCATTTTTAAAATAGTCGATATCAATTCAAAAAATTGAAACTATACCGTCAACTGTCAATTTTTCAATAGTTCGTTTTTTTAAATGTAATTGCTTTTTTTATATGCATTAATCATTTGATAGTAGTGGGATCAAATTACATATCTTAAAAATGTATTCCGAGTGGAAAAAAAAATCAATAGAATTGACCACAGATATCTGTTTAATCCAAAAATATTATTAGAATCATATTTAATAAAAATGCTATGCTTTTAGAAATAAACGGAAGAATAAACGCACTTTTTCAAACCGTCAAAATTGAATTTGTGTCAAATAGAGTAGGTGCCAAAAGTGCTTACTCTTAAACAACCGTCGGATTTCCGGGTGAAATCGTGACACACTTTCGTCTTTCGTAGGCAGTAGTGGTTGTTACAAAAGGTAACTTCGAATGTAGCGTGAAATCTGCAAAAAAAATTCTGAAATTTGAATGGAGAACACAAAAATTGAATAGTTTACGTCAATAAAAAAGAGAAAAATGAAGCCAATGTGTCTCGAACCTAGGACTTAGAGCAGCAATCACACTGTTTATCCCATTACACTACATGCATCTCTCACCTCAGTGAATGAGATCAACTATATGATAACTTTTTCCCCATTATATTCTTGTGGAAAAGTGACAAATAGCAACTTTGACCCTCTCTCGTGTCAAATATCTTGAATTTACAATTTTAGCTATTTAGATAATTAGAGAAGCATTTGATCAATTTTTGTGTTAAACAACTATTTTTCGAATTTCTGAGATATGAAAATTAATTCACTAACTTCTTAAAAACATGAGTTGAATGAAAACTCTTAGAAGAAATGTTCATATCACTTTCATTAATGGAGTACAAGGATGATTCCGAGTTCTTGGATGATATCCAGAAGTCCAAAACCCGATCCAAGGAAATCGTGAGAATGCAAATGCACTTAGCTTATCTTGATGAATCAGAGCCCGCAAGTGAAGATAAAAATCAAGCACCAGCTAATGCCGAAGAATTTAAAGTTGTCAGAAAGTTTAGCTTACAAAAATTCCTTGAGGCACACCCAATCTTAAATGTCAAAGACCTTTGTAACTTTTCTTTGGATCAACTCTTGTATTTAGTTGATGTTGTTCGCGAGCATGAGTTGTCATCCAGACGCGGTCGGAAAAACGGTTGTGATCCATTAGATGCGTTATTCCTAACATTAACTTACTATTGCACTTATCTTCCATTGCAAAAATGTCAGGAATTGTTAGTTTGAAACAGAGTTACCTCAGCAAAATCATTAACAAAACAACAAACAGGATGTTCCCAATTTTCATTGCTGAATTCATTCCAAAACAATATTCTCCCTGTGACAAGGAGTTCGATAACTTTCCAACATGTGTTGCTGCAGTTGATAGCTCTACTATTCCTTTTACCGTTCCTCTTGATCTTGCTGAGCGTAAAAGTTCATGGGATGCTAAAAACCATTGCAATGGTATGAAGGTTCAAGTTCTTGTTAATCCTTTAGGACAGGTAATTCACATGAATACAAGTTTTTTAGCTTCAGTTCACGATAAGAAAGTATTTGATTTATCAGGAGCTTCAGATTTTTTACATGTCCAACGTGGAGTTGAATCTGTTGCATTAGGACTTCTTGCAGATAGAGGTTACATCGGTATTCAGAAATACCATCCAACAGCCGTCATTATGCAAAGAGGTGATGACGAAGAAGTTACAAAACGCAATAATGCGATTGCACATGATCGCCAAATTGTCGAACGCCGCTTTGCACGCGATAAAAGTAATTGGAGTGTCTTGGCAATAGGATATCGTGGTGAAAAAGGCAATCTTCCACTTATTGTTCAAGGATTGTTTGCTTTAGATAACTATCACATCGATTCCACACCTCTCAGTGAGAAGGATAACTGCGATTTTCCTTGCACTCCAAAAGATGAAAAAGAAGCTGCAGCAACACCAGAACCAAATGGTTCAGGAAGCCCAATGCCAAAGCCAAGATGTGTTCCAAAAGATCTTTATCTCCAAACTCCAGAAACTCCAATGAAGATTCCATCTCCACTAGCTGGATATGAAAAGATTGATAAGATACTTGTTAAAAGAACACAAAATGCAATCTACAACATCGAAACAAAAATGTCAATTCCAGGATTACATAATGAGGGAGCTACCTGCCATGTCAATGCCGTTTTGCAAGTTTTGTTCTACGTAAATACTTTCAGAAAAGATGTAATGGAGCATTTGGGAGATGTCGAATATACGCCAGTGAAAGCACTTGCCGAAATTTATGATCAGATGTTGCACTACCGCCACAAGGAATACACAATTTCATGCTCACAATTCATCACAACACTCGGCAAGCAATACTTCCAGCAGCAAGATGCCGATGACACATTTCAAAAGATTGTACATGATGTTACGGAATCAGCAAACAAACCAGATATTGCCGTTACATTCCAATATCAAACTGAGACTCCTGATGAAAGCTTCTATTCGGTTTCGCTTCACATTCCTCTTGGTGCAGCAGGTATTGATCAAGGAATTAAACAAATGTGCACAGATGATTCTCAGTTAGTAAACATATCATGGGTACGGAGGCACTGCGCGCCTCCTTACCCATTATATGTGAATTTGACACTTTACAAAACCGTTAACGTATATTTTACAACACAAAACGATAACACTAACTTAACCTTAAATATTTACAAAGCCGCCAACCACTTCACCTCACTAATGTAAAAAATAAACGTTCTCACTTACAAAAGTATTGCAACTCCTCCCATTGCTGTGCTTCACACAACAGTTCATATTCTTCTGACTCACTTTCTTCTTCATATAGGTCAAAATCACTGTCAAAATAAATGTTAGTAAGTTTTGACAAAGCTAATGAAACACGTTTACCGTTTGTATCGTATGCTTGTATAAACTTTCCATTATGCTTGTAGTCATAAACGCTCAAACTAACTTTACCCTTTCTCCCTCGTATCTGATAGAATGTATTTTCACGAGGAACGAAGAACAAATTCTTGAACTCATGACCGTTGTAGTTTGTTATCTCAATAGTTTTCGTCATTTACATCCAAATAAAAATTTTCAGTAAAAATAAAAAATAAACTTAAAAATTAATGATATCACCACCCTCACACGTATGAAAACATAGCACAAAAATAAATTTAGGTGAAGTGGTGAGATCTCATCTGTTTTTTCACCCTGTTGAATTCATTGCTTTATAACTCTCTTCCTTGGTTTCTTTTTAGTTGCTTTCTTTACGTCTGTCTCCAGCTTGACTGTCTTTCTTCTTCGTCCATAATGATACCAGTTACTTCCACCAGTCAATGGGTCAAATGGTCGTTCATAAGGGTTTCCATACATTCCATAGGGACCATACGGAAGAACTACTAGTGGAGAAGAAACATTTTCTTTAGTTCCATCGAATCTATTTAAATGCATTGTTTCACCTTTCATCTGGTCATTAAAGTCTTTTGCGTGTTTTGCAAACTCATCGTCCTTTCCTAAAGCATTTTCTGACTCAGTCGCAACCAAATTGGATGCTTTATTTATGAGCCCTATTTTATTTAATCTTAACTTCTTTGCAACCCAGCCTCCAATCTTTCCTTTATTTGCATCTAATGTCTTCGAAACCCTTCCTCCACTCATTTTATTTACTGCGTCATAAGCTCCAAGTGCTTTTGCTCCAAATGCTAATGCTTTTGTTCCCATTGCGCCTAAAGCTGCCCAAGCTACCATTTACACCATATTAAAATCATCTCTCTTCAATATTATCTCATAAAAGTTCTCGTTACTGGAGAAAGTCAAT